CGATATGTCAGGACTGCCATTTTATTGTAGTTTTCTGTTTGTTCTGTTTTTCATTTCTTTTCCTTGCCCTGGGTGTTAACTTGACCATTAAAAAAATTAAAATTAAAAAAATTTCATTTAAGTTTAAATTTTAAAAATTTTTAAAAATTCCATTTTTGGGGGGGGTGCCTGGGTGGCTGAGTTGGTTAAGTGTCCAACTTCGGCTCAGGTCATAATCTCATGGTTCATGGGTTTGAGCCCCACATTGGGCTCTGCTGACAGCTCAGAGCCTGGAGCCTTCTTCAGATTCTGTGTCTCCCTCTCTTTCTGCCCCTCCCCCACTCACACTCTGTCTTTCTCTCTAAATAATAAATAAACATTAAAAAAATTTTTTTAAATACTCCGTTTTGATCTACCTGTAGTGTTTTCTCATGTGTCTCTGTGTAGATTTTTAGTGATTGCTTTAGGTGTTACCACATAACTAGGACATGCATGTGGTTTGAATGGATACAGTGAATGAAAGTGGTTGAGCCAGCAGAGTATACCAGTTCCTTTTGCTTGCTAACCCTGAATGTTATCATTCTTTTTCTTCTAGCTGTTGTGGTGGGTATATGTAATATAGTGTTGTGATCTTAATTTGTGATCTCCCCGGTGACTAATAAGGATATATACCTTTTCATATATTAATTGGCCATTTGGGTACTGTCTTTTGGGAAGTCTCTTGCCCATTTTCTGTTAGGCTGTCTCTTCTTTTTGATTTGCAGGAATGTTCTGTTTTCATGGATATAGTCCTTTGTTGACTTTGTGTTGCAAGCATCTTTTTCACTCTGGCTAGCTGCACCCACACCCCTTAGTATTAGTGGTATTTTAATGAGCAAAGGTTCAGATTTTTATGTTGTTCAGCTTTTTTTTTTTTTTTTTTAATTTATGGTTGGTGGGTTTTTTTGTTGTTAAGAAACCTCTCTACCACAGTCACAAAAATCTTCTGTATTTTTTTAGAAGTTTTATTGTTTTACCTTTCACATTTCTATCTATAATTTACTTAACTGATTCTTTTTTTTTTTTTTTTAAGTTTATTTATTTTGAGAAAGAGAGCACAAGATGGGGAGGGGCAAAGATACAGAGAGAGAGAGAATCCCAAGCAGGCTCCGCACTGAGCCCGACACAGGGCTTGATCTCACAACTGTGAAATCATGACCTGAGCAGAAGTCAAGAGTTGGATGCTTAACTGACTGAGCCACCCAAGCACCCCTGAAATTGATTCTTGTAAATGATATACAGTTTGTTTTTGGTTTTTAAATACGGATGTCCAGTTAGCTCAGCAGCATTTATTGGTAAGGCCCTTCTCTCTCAGTTGCTTTACAATAATGCCCCCCCCCCCCATCATAAGTCAGGGGCTCACATATCGTGTGTCTGTTTCTGGACTTTGCTCTGTTGTCCTGTTTGTAATTGCACTGATGCAATACTCTCCTAATTCCCGTAGTTTTATAAGTCTTGGTATTTGATAATTAGTCCTCTCACTTTGTTTTTCTTCAGTATTTCTTTTTACTAATTTTTGCCTTTTGCATTATTTTAGAATGAACAACTTTAAAAAAAAAAGTCTATTTATTTTGAGAGAGCAAGTGTGTGAATGGGAGAGGGGCAGAGAAAGGAGAGAGAATCTCAAGCAGGCTACACTGTTGAACTCACAATCCGTGAGATCATGACTTGAGCCAAAATCAAGAGTTAGATGTTTAACCAGCTGAGCCATCCAGGTGCCCCTAGAATGAACAGCTTTTGGACTGAGGGTCAGTTTCCACATTCTCCCCAGCCCTCCTCTCCCAAGAAAACCTACCAAAATTTTTATTAGGCTTACATTGGCTCTAGATTGGGGTTGGCAAATTATGGCCCACAGGCCAAATCCAACCTGCCACTTATTTTTGAAATGAAATTTGACTGAAACACATCCATTCTTACATATTGTCTATGGCTGTTTTCGTGCTACGGTGACAAAGCTGAGTAGTTAGGGCTTCTTTGATTTCTCTTGGTAACGTGTTATAATTCTCTGTGTAGTGGTCTTACACATGTTTCATCAGGTTTATTCTTAGGTAGTTGATATTTTCATATTATTCTAAATAATATCTTTTTTATCAAAATGTTTTACTAAGATAATTGCGGATTCACTTGGCAGTTGTATAAGGTAATTTGAAGAGGTGCTTTGTATACTTTGCCCAGTTTTGTCAATGGTGACATTTTGCAAAACAGTAGTAGAACATTACTGCCAGGATATTGACATTCATACAGTCCATTGATCTTATTCAGATTTGTTCACTTTTGCTTATAGCTGTGTGTGTGTGTGTCTGTGTGTATTAAGTTTGGTACTGTTTATCACCTATATAGGTTTACTTATCCATTATCAAAGTCAGGATACTGAACACTTTCAAAACCACAAGGATCCTTCGTGTTGCCCTTTTATTTAAAAAAAAATTTTTTTTTTCAATGTTTATTTATTTTTGGGACAGAGAGAGACAGAGCATGAACGGGGGAGGGGCAGAGAGAGAGGGAGACACAGAATCGGAAACAGGCTCCAGGCTCCGAGCCATCAGCCCAGAGCCCGACGCGGGGCTTGAACTCACGGACCGCGAGATCGTGACCTGGCTGAAGTCGGACACTTAACCGACTGCACCACCCAGGCGCCCCCGTGTTGCCCTTTTATAGCTACTTCCATCTTCCTTCACCTCTACCCCTTCACCTATCCCTAGCCTCTGGCACTAATCTGTTTCCATTTCTAAAATTGTGTTATTTCAAAATGTTATTTAAATTAAAGCATACAATATGTAGTCTTTGGGGACTAGTTTTTTCCAGCAGAATTCACTATAGATTCATCCAGGTCGTTGTGTGTTTCCACAGTACATTCCTTGTTACTGCCGAGCAGTGTTCTGTGGGGCAGGTGGACCACGTGTTTCTCCAGTCACATGTTCAAGTACATCGAGGCTGATTCCAGTTTTTGGTGATTATCAGTAAAGCTGCTATTCTAATAACTTATCTGTCATTTTGTTTCATCCATGTACAGGATCATGTCAACTCTGATTGATGACAGTTTTATTTTGTCATTTACAATTCTTATACCTTTTATCTCTTTTTCTTGCCTTATTGCATTGGCTAGAACCTTTAGTACAGTGTTGAATCAAACTGGTGATAGTGGGTCTCCTTGTTTTATTACGTCAGAAAGGAAAGCTTTCAACATTTCATAGTTAAGTATGAAGTATATTACGAGTTTTTTATAGATTTTTTTGTGTTAATCAGAGTTAAGGGAATTTTCTTTATCCCTAATCTTTTTATAACATTAATGGTTGTTGAAACTTATCAGATGTCTTTATTGAGTTGATCATATGATTTTTCTTCTCTATTCTGTTAATTCATAAATCCTGCCCATTGGTTTTCTAATGTTAAGCTAGCATTGGTTTCATGGTATTAACCTCACCCATTTGGTTGTGGTACATTATGCTTTCTTTCATGTGTTGAAGTTTTGCATCTGTGATCATCAGTGAGATTGGCTTATAATTTGCCTATCTTACAATGTCCTTATCAGATGTTTAGATTTTTTTTTAACATTTATTTTTGAGAGCCTGAGAGAGACAGAGCATGAACAGGGAGGGGCAGAGAGAGAGGGAGACACAGAATCTGAAGCAGGCTCCAGGCTCTGAGCTGTCAGCACAGAGCCCAACGCAGGGCTTAAACCCATGAACCATGAGATCATGACCTGAGCCAAAGTCAGACGCTTACTTAACCAAGTGAGCCGTCCAGGTGCTCCCTATATCAGGTGTTTAGAATCAAAGTTTTATGTTCTTATATAATGATATGGGGCATATTCTCTCATTTTATGTTTCCTGGAAGAGTGTATGTAAGATTAAGAATTATTTTTCTTTAAATACTGGGTAGAATTTACTAGAAAGTCATTAGAGCTTGGAGTTTTCTATATAAGGAGGCTTTTAATTATAGATTTTGTTTCTTTTGATGCTCCTAGAACTATTCAGATTTTTTATTCCTTTTTGTCAGTTTGAGATGAGTGTGTTTTTTAAGGAAATTTTTCATTTTTTCTAAATTTACATAAATTGTCATGAAATCGTTTCTACTAACCCTATCCTGGTGATAACCCATGGGCTCTGTCCTGATGCACCTTGTTTCATTCCTGATGTTGTTCTTGGCGCCTTCTCTAGGGGTCTGTACTCATTCTCCTTACAGAGCCTCCTTGCCTTCACCTCTTTTCCTTCTTCCCCCTCCTCTTCTTCGCATCCCAGCATGAGTATGGCTGGGGTCCCTCAGCGAGGTGGGCCTTCTCTGTGCCCCCCCATCTCCATTAGAAGCCTGGGTCCACCTCGGTGACCTGCATGTTGTAGGCACTTAATCTCTGGCTGAGCTGAGCTGAGCTCGTAGACGTGCGATTGAGAAGGACTTGCCCAGGCTTCTCCACCTCCATCTCCACTCTCACCTGCAGCCCACCCCCACGCCTGGCTGTCCACATCCTGGTGGCACTGGTCGCCAGCCGGCCATGCGTCGCCGCCTTTTCCTTTGTAGAACCTTAGTCCTCTTTCCCTCCCTGGCTGCGGCCTGTCAGTGACTGGCTGTCTCGTGTGCTCTGTGCTGTCGGGTTGCATCCCAGGTCTGGGGGTTGCAGCGACGACGTTACTCTGCTCCGGTCTGTTCACACTGGTTATTCCTGTTGGGAGAACTTGAGGCAGTACTGAACAAGCAGTACTAATGGCTGCTGTGCTATCTGAGGATATTTGTGTCATCAGAGCATAAAGCCTCAAACCGTGCAGCTCTCCATCAGCCGGGGATCTTCATGGGCCCCCACCACTGCCACAGACTTCCCTGTGTTCAGGTCTCTGCCTGTCCTTGGAAAGGTCTGTCTTACAACTTTTTCTAGGTCTCCATAATTTCTGCTCAGTGTAATTGAAAATTAATCTTTCTCATGAGAGTTCTTGGGGGAAGCATTTCATGGGTGTCAGGCTTATCACGCACGGTGTGTTTGATTTCAGGTGATTCTGTTCTTGAAGAAGAAGGACAGGTTCGTCAGTCTGGTGTTGCAGCACATCGGCACCTCGGCCCTCATGGACCTGCTGCTGCGCCTTGTCAGCTGCGTGGAGCCTGCTGGGCTCCGGCAGGAAGTCCTGCATGTGAGTGTGTGGGCCCCTCCTCTCTGGAGCCCTCTCCCTGTCGGCTGAGTGCAGGCCGAGTGCATGGTGAGGGCCTGCCTCAGGGAGGCCAGAGTTGGGTGAAGGCACTCAGAGAGCACTGGAGGGCCCGTACCTCCGGCCTTCCACCCGCCATGATTTTCTCCCTGTGGGGTCATCATGGGTTCTTGTCAGGGCTTGTATTTTGAGGCTGGGTCTGCAGTCTGTACCTTTTCTGCTGTACTGCCTCAGTCTGTTGAGAAACAAAGAGCAGAGTGTTCCTTTTCCTCCTGACACTCTCTGGGCTCCTTCTCTGTGAAGAGGAAGAAAAGGACTTTCCTCACCACCCCCCAGACCCTAGTGTCCCCATGGCCTCAGAGCAGGGGCTCTGTCAGGTCCTGGCTCTATTATCTGGCACCTACCTATGAAGAAGGCAACAGCTGACAAGGATTCTTTGCAGAGAAATCACAGAGACCTGAGCAGGTCTGTGTTTTGACCTGGAGTCTGTGCACGTGTCTGTCCTGACAGGCTCGCAGCCTGACGAGCTGCTCATAACTCCCTGAGGGCTTTCCCAGAAAAGACGAGGAGTCTCAGAGGAGCCAGGAAATGAGTGCGGGATAAACTGTTCACTGTTGTTTGGCAGGTTTTGTCTGTGATGGAATTTAAAGTAAAGGCCTGGGCCTTCTTGCCCATTTTCCAGCTCCTGGGACCCAGTAACAGTTGTCATCAGGGTAGCCGTTCTCATGTTTAGGTTCGTTATGGAGCAGCCTCCCACGAAGAGTCAGTCATAAATAGCTAACGTTAGGCAGTGAGACACAGCATGAATGTCAGCTGTTGTTAATGGCGGAAAGCCCACATTAACTTCATGTTAGCAACCGCGGGGGCAGATCTCCCAGTTTTGGATAAGGAAACTCACTGGTCTTCCCTGGGTCCCCACCACCTTTGGGCCTCAAATAGTGTCGGGCATTGTAGTCCTCACAGCATTCAGGCACCGGCACCAGACCTCTTTGCTTCTCCCGACCTTGGAAAGGCCCTGACATTGCAGAGAGCAGAGCGTCCATGTGCAGCCAGGCTGTGCACCGGGGCAGCCCTGTTGGTGCCTGGGTGGCTCTGGGCTCCAGCTCATTCTGTCTTCCGAGACACCCTGAGGACAGCATGTTTAGGCGTCTGGACCACTGGTCCCTTCTTTGTGGAGTTCAGGTCTCTCCAGAATTTGGTCACTACTTGTTCTTTCTGGGTCTGGGTGGACACATACGTTGGACAGATCTCTATCCCTGGAACCTGGCACGTGGATTTCTTCTGCACTGACGGACTTAGATGTGAACAGCGTCATTGGCAGGCCTCTTTTTCCCTTTCAGTGGCTTAATGAAGAGAAGATCATCCAGAGGCTGGTGGAGCTGATCCACCCAAGTCAGGATGAAGATGTGAGTATGGCTCCCACAGAGCCCACCTTCCGCAGAGCCCCTCACTCGGGGCTACTAAAGAACGCTCTCTGCTGCTGAGGGCAAGAGTTACATACTTTTCTTCCTTCAGTCAAGCACAGACTTCCAGACTATGTCTTTTTACTAAAAAAAGTAATACATACATATTATAAAAAACAATTTGACCAGAATTATATTAGTGATCGCATCTCTGGCTGAGTAACAAATTATCCCAAAACTTAGTTGTTTATAAGAACAAGTATTTTTTAAATTTCTCTTTCTGTGAGTCAGGGACCTGGACACGGCTTAGTGGGTCCTCTGCCCAGGGTCTCTTACAAGACTGTGGTCATCTCAGGACTCAGCTGGGGGAGGCCCTGCCTCCAGGGTCACCAGTGGCTCAACAGGACTCCGTTCCTTGAGGGCCGTGGACCTGTCCACGGGGCAGCTCACAACGTGCTGCTGGCTTCCCTTGGAGTGAGCAAGACGGAAGTTTTTCTTCTGCAGTCTTAGAAGGGACAGTGAGGGACAGTCCTTCTGCAGTCCTTAGAAGGACAGCACTGTGGCTGTACTCTGCTCTCTAGAAGTGAGTGGCTGAGGAGGTGGGGTTTACGAGGGCGTAAAGCCTCTGGGAGGGAGGCCCCCACCGCCGGTGTGGAAGCATGTAGGGTGGCAGTGGGGCTTCCTCTTGGCCCCCTGCCTGCTCCCTGCAGTGATCACTGTTGAAGAACTTGGGGTGTATTTTTTCTGTGCATGACAAAAGTAAACAGACACACTGCCCTCAGCAATTTGAGAACAGTGGTGCCGACCTGTGTCTGAGCCTGTGCTGTGGCCTGGCCACACTGTTCTCTGTTCCTCTCCGCCCACGGGGCCGTCAGACAGCTGGGTGAGGGTGCCTATGCTCCATACTGAGGAGGGCGGGTGCCCCTCCACCAGTGTGAGCACCACAGGCCGCCGACTGGTCTGTTCCTGGCCCAGACGCAGGGGTGAGGCCACAGGGACCACCTGACTGCTTTCATTTCTCCCTAAAGTAGTCATGCAAACACTTTCTGTAGCCCAGAGTTCCCACAGTGTGCAGGTCACGGCTGCATGTTCTGACACTCCCAGCATGGAGGCAGGGGGCTGAGTTTCTCTCTAGTTAGTTTAGCTGCACCACTAAACACCCCATGTTGTTGCGAGTGCACTGATTCCAGATTTTCACTAGTTAAGGATTAATGTTTTCCTAGAAGAGTTGAGGCCTCTGTTTTCTGTAGCACCTTGTCTGTTTCCATTAGCTCATAGGACTCATTCTGAGTGTTACCAGCTACAGTTTAATACTTAATATTTTAAATATTAATTTAAAATACAGTGGCAGTAACGTGGTCACATATGCAGCACATCTCAAAATGGTTCCAGGGATAGAGCAATGTCTCTGTGGTGTATCTGACCCTCGAGAGCCCTATCTGGAGTCTGGGTTAGTTCAGTACAGCTGAAAGGTCTGACTGGATTGCATCCTGACATTCAGAAAGGCCTACCAGTTTTCTCTGAAATGGACTTGTTTAGAGAGTCCAGTGTGTTCTTCCGAGAACTGAGCAGTGGGACGGCTCTACTGGCCTCTCTCCCCAGCCCTGAGGGGAGTGCTGTGTCTCCTTTTCCTTCCAGAGACAGTCCAACGCCTCTCAGACTCTCTGTGACATCGTCAGGCTGGGCAGAGAGCAGGCCAGTCAGCTGCAGGAGGCCCCGGAGCCAGACCCCCTCCTCACAGTGTTGGAGTCGTGAGTGCTGGCTGCATTGCGGGTGCCTGGCTGGGTGGGGTGGGGTCTTTCTGAGCATGAGGAGGCCTCCAAGCCCTGCCCTGAGCACAGGCAGATACTGCAGATGCCCAGATTCTGATGAGCTGGCTGTGAAATACTCCCATCTAGTTAACTTGATGAGCCTGTTTCTCATGGGAGGAGGGGTCTCCAGGGGACCCCTGGCATGTGTAGTGACTCTAGGCCAGCAGGGGCAGGAGTGTCGTGAGAACCCTGGGTGCCCAGCCTGAAGCCCAAGCGAAGCCGCTCGAGTTTTAGGGTGTTGCTCCTTTATAGAGAGGAGAGGCAGTCCTTTGGACGTTGGCCTGTGTGTCTGCTCCAGCAGTAGTGACCTCTGTGTGTGTCTGACAGGCAGGACTGTGTGGAGCAGCTTCTGAAGAACATGTTTGATGGAGACCAGACTGAGAGCTGCCTCGTTAGTGGGACTCAGGTGTTACTTACCTTGTTGGAAACAAGGCGGGCTGGGTGAGTGTCTCGCATGAGAGCTTGAATATGATGAGTGGTCTGGGTGTGTGGGGTTTTTAACTAATTGTTAATGATGGGTAGACTCTCTTTGTTGAAAAGATAAACTTACAGCTCCTTGACCTTTGGCGTCAGTCATGTTCCTGCCTCAGGCCGAAGGTACCCAATGTCGCCAGCTTACAAGGTGTTTATAGATGTATCTGTGGAATAGGTATGAACAGTGGGTTTCTCCATAGACTGTCCCAGTGTGTGATGTGTGTAAGTGTGGTGTGGGGTGTGTGTGTGTGTGTGTGTGTGTGTGTGTGTGTGTGTGTGTGTGTGTGTGTGTGTGGTTTTTGTATGTACACGCCAATGTGTGGGGGTGTGGGCTGTGAGGTGTGTGTGTGTGTGTGTATGTCTGATCTGTTCTGTCCCGTCATGTGCTGTGGTAGTGGCCTATCTCCCAGGGTGACTAGTTCTCTTATTTCTCCTGGAGGGGACTTCATTGAAGCTCCCAGCACTGATAAACTGCACTTTAAAAATTAAAAAAAAAAAAAAAAGCAATAGGGACACCTGGGTGGCTCAGTCAGTTAAGTATCCAACTCTTGATCTCAGCTCAGGGTCTTGATCTCGGGGTCTTGATCTCAGGGTCATGAGATCAAGCCCCGCATTGGGTTCCATTCTAGGCATGAAGCCTATTTAAAAAATAATAACAATAAAAAAGGGCACCTGGGTGGCTCAGTTGGTTAAGCGTCTGACTTTGGCTCAGGTCATGATCTCGCAGTCTGTGAGTTCAAGCCCTGCATTGGGCTCCGTGCTGACGTTGGGCTCTGTGCTGACGGCTCAGAGCCTGGATCCTGCTTGAGATTCTGTCTCCCTCTCTCTCTCAGCCCCTCCCCTGCTCTCTTTCAAAAATAAACATTTTAAAAAATTTAAAACAACAACAACCAAAGAATAAGAAATGACAAGAAATTGAGTTAATCTTGGTATGGGATTAGTAGCAGTTTTTGTCTCTCTTTCTCTGGGATCCAATACAGATCTATTAGTTTATTACCTAAAAATAGAATTATAACATTATCATTGTTTTCTCTAGTTAGACAATCAGGATATTGATTTTCTTAATGTTTATTTTGAGAGAGAGAGCAAGAAAGCACATACATGCTCAGGGAGGAGCAGAGAGAGAGGGAGGGAGAGAGAGAATCTCAAGCAGGCCCTGCAGTGTCAGTGCAGAGCATGATCTGGGGCTCGATGCCACCAATCATGAGATTGTGACCTGAGCCCAAGTTGGACGCTTAACTGAGCCACCCCGGTACCCCAAGAATGCTGATTTTTTTTTTTCTTTCAATCTTTGTGAATCCTGGAAGCCTGGGCCTTTTCTGTAGGATGTGGGGGTTCTTCTCAAGGCCTTTCCCAACCTTGCCTGCAGTAAAGGGACAGCATGGAAATGAGACATAAAAACAGAGATGAGCCAGCTGATTCTTTTTTTTAATTCTTTTTTTGTATTTAAAATGTTTTTCTATAATGGTCACGTATTACTTTTATAACTGGAAAAAGCATTTAAATAAAGATCTCAGAGAAATTAGTTCAAAAAAGCTGGAGGGACGATGTGGAGTCCTGTCTCCTGGTTTTCCAAAACCAGAGGTGGGGGCCAGAGGTAGTCCGGTGTGTGTGAGATGCCACCAGGAGGTGAGGAGGCTGTCCTTGGCCATCACCTGGGAGTGTTTTCTAAAGGCCACTGTTGCTTTTCTCTTCTCTCTGTACCAGCCACCAAACCACTCTTGAGCCAATAGGTGGAAAAGTTGGGGGGCGAGGTGTGACAGAGGATGGGGGTGTATGCCCTGTGTCTCCATCTGCTGTCCTCATCCACAGGACAGAGGGCTTGGTGGACTCCTTTTCTCAGGGACTGGAAGGGCTGTGTACCGTCAGCAGCAGCATACTGCACGGCATTGAGCCACGACTGAAGGACTTCCACCAGCTTCTACTCAGCCCGCCAAAGGTGGGTGACCCTGAACAGCTGTTAGGTCCCTATGCAGGCATTATAGGCAGGATGATTTGCAAGTAGACCACCAGACATCCCAACTTGAGAGCCACCAGACAGATCCCAGAGGCATGTTTCCATACCCTCATCTGCTGAATGTCCGTCTCTTCTCTGAGGTAAGGCTGGATGGGGAGGACATTTTGCAGCCCCCCAGATGACTCTTGCAGTCTGAAATAGGGGCCGTCTGAGAGCCCAAGTTTACTGTAGGTCTGGCCTCCAAGTCAGGGGTACCTGGCCAATGGTCAGGGAAAATCCCAGGGGAGGCCTTTGCTCAGCTCAATAGCTCCAGGCAGCACTTGGGTCACACGGAGAAGGGCTCAGTCGCTTAGCCACCATGGAGCTCACTGTGGAGCCCCTCTCCTCTGTCAGGGCCCCTTTCCCTTTCCTTGGTGCTTCGTAGCACCTACTATGATCTGTTGCACTATGAAGGTAGGGATTCTGGAACATTTCATTAATGAAACATTATGCTGCATGTGTGTGGGGTCAGAAAACCCTGACATCCAATCTGATGAGGCCAGCTGTTACTTGTCTCCTTCAAGTATGTTCATGGGGTGTCTGTTAGCTTGGTGTCCTGACACTGTGTCCCCCAGAGAGCTGGCCCCATGTTGGACATGTCTCATAACCTGACATGCACATGTCTTTGCTTGGTTTGCTGGGACCAGAGATCCCTGGGCTTCTGGGGACAGTAGACCACCATTGCTTACTATTTTGTGAGGCCCTGAAGAGAGTGATGGGGTCCCTAACCCTGCTGACCCCTTATTTCCTCTCATAGGCAACACTGGCTTGAGGAACCTCCACACACACATCGCATGCCTCCCCAGGCTGAGCCGCTTCATGGAGTAGTGGCCTGGCCCTTTGAGCACTTAGCACCAGAGCTAAGAGAAGCCAGTAGCGGCCATCCATGCTGGTTGCAAGTCTCTAACTGGGTGGTGCTCTTGTGTTTGTAGAAAAAAGCGATCCTGACCACCATTGGCGTGCTGGAGGAGCCTTTGGGGAATGCCCGTCTGCACGGGGCCCGCCTCATGGCTGCACTGCTGCACACGAACACGCCCAGCATCAACCAGGAACTCTGCCGGCTCAACACCATGGGCTTACTGCTGGTAAGTGGGCTCTCCTGCCAGCCCTGGGTGGCTCTCTGCGTGTCTTGCACTGTCAGCAGGGGGGTGGGCAGACAGGGCAGGTGCACTGGGCGGGGGTCTGTCAGGGGCAGGCATTTGGACCTCAGTATCCAGACAAGGTTCTGCCCGGAACAAGCATAGTCTGTACAGAGAAACCATTTCCCAGACCTGTCACAGGGTTGACCGGACAGGTCGCTGGTGAAGCACACCGAGTGACCATGGGATAGGCCTTGGTGTAGGCTTACAGAGAATTGCCCCAAAAACAGAGGGCAGATTTCTGATCCACTGTGAGGGACTGGGGTAATACAGTCCATCTCCTTCCTGTTTTCTCCCCAAGATAGAACTTTTATTATAGCTCTCCAACATAAAACGTCCTGAAAGAGCAAATCCTGGTCACTCACAGTAGAAGGCCACCCTAGCAGCTCTTGCCCAGGCCAGTGGGAAGTGGTCCTCTCTTCAGCAGATACCTCTCTGGTGCCTGCGGGAGACGGTCAGGCAGGCAGGGAAAGCAGAGCAGCACTGGCTGTGGGCAGCAGGCTCCGCCACGGAAGGTGGGTGCTGATGGGGAGGGCGTCCCCCTGGGTGTGCACCGTGAGCACATGGGGTCTCGGTCTCCCTATTCCCTTCTGCCTTGCCTTAGGGCCTCTACTCCCAGAGAACTGAAATCTTTTCTAATTTAAATTCTTACCCCAGGGGCGCCTGGGAGGCTCAGTCAGTTAAGCATCAGACTTTGGCTCAGGTCATGATCCCACGGTCCGGAGTTCAAGCCCCGTGTTGAGCTCTGTGCTGACAGCTC